TCAGGCAAGCTTTATTTATTAAAATACAAATGGAATATCACTACATTCCTTTAGTCTCAGTGGTCATCTTCTATCTTCTCATTGGAGGGACATTTTACAAACATACATTAACATATTTTTTTTCATTCTTGAACCAAAAAATGGCATCACAGTCATAACAGAAGATATTAATTTTGGAAAAGATCTTTTGATATTCAAGCTTTGTCCAAACTTGGGTAAGAAATTTAGAATCCTAGGATTTGGGCCCCTAGCACATTGTCAGCATGGTTGTTATTACATCAAGAACAGTCAGACGGTTGCTTATTACATCAAGAACAGTCAGACAGCAGATGAAGGCTGTTTAAATGTTTGACCGACAAAGATCCTACCACATTGCTTTAGATCCATCAAACACCCAGTAAAGTCAGCTTCCACACTCCTAGACAGTAGTACGGTGTTGAGCCTGACCACATCTGACCCATTCTTCTCATACCGTCAGGATCCTGTTCATGTACCACCTTCTTGGGTATATCTTTGGATTGGAACCTTTAAGACTCTAAGAAGGAATGAAATTGAAACCGTTGTCTCATGGTTATATACTACATTAGAAGAGAGTCCTTCTGTGGACTCACTCTCTGAATGACAAAAGTTGGAATAAATATATATGAATTAAAAAATATATTGAAATAGATTTATGAAATTTTTATCAACATAAATTTGAAAATTTTTGTCTGATAATTTATAATGGTTGTAAAAAGTTGAAAATTATAATCAACAATATTTCGGGGATCATTAATTTAATTTGCTGCAAAATTCCTTGCAGTTAGTTGGCAAGTTTTCTCAGAGTAATGTAACAAATATTTAACAACAGATGAATTTCATACTCGGTAGATTAATTGAGCATTGTTTGTCACCTTAGTATGACTACAGAGTTTTTGCTTCTCAAGTTTTCATTATTTATTTTCTGATGAGCCACATGCAGTTCTCTGTGAAGCTTTAGAAGGACATCCTTTGATTAATCCATTTTCCAGGTGAGGGAGCAAATAGCACTGGAAGTAAATATTTATTGCTTTCAGCAGAACTAGTGGATCGCATTTGATGGTAGCAAAACTCAATTTCATGAATTTTTTTTAGGTTTGAGCTATAAAATGTACTGTATATTGGTAGAATATGAAACACCATTCTTTTATGACTAAAATATAAATCAAATTAACACTCATTTCGTGAAGAGAACAGCACTAATTGTAGTGCTTAATAAGATTAGATCTCTTCCAGAAACAATTAGATTTCATAATATATGCATATATTTAACTCTGTAGATGTGGCTCATCCATACTCCTATTTATCAGGTACACATCATTTACTTTTTAGCGGCTTCCAGACTGTGTTTACAGTTATAGACTAGCTTTTCCTTAAACAATGAGTGTTTGTTCTACCTGGTGGTGAAAGGATATTTTACTTACTTGCCAATATGCAAATAATTAATGCTAGCATTAGTATTTCTGCATAAGTGCTTTATATTGATTTGTATCTGGACTTTGTAATATTTACGTCACAAATGTTTGATCTTTTTTCATTCTCATTTTGTGTATTTCCATACAGTTTTCCTCTTTATCTCAACAGAAAAGAATTGACTCATAACTTAGAACCAACCATAAAATTTTAAGGATTGTGAATCTATTGACGGAAAAATTACTGTGTTTGACAAATAAATGTAGGTTTTGCGTTCATAAGAGCATCATAAATAAGGTCACTGAAGAAAAATTCAAAATCAAGGACAAAATCAAGCTTCGGTGATCCTACAGATATTAGACTTTAAGCCAGTTTCCCGGATTATTTTAGAAAAAGTACATTTCCCCCTTAAACATGATCATAGCATTGCATCATTTTATAACCTTTATTTTAATGGTATTATGAATCATTTTATAGGATGATAAACATGAAATTACATTGCCAAATTGGATTTATATCCCTGAGGAGTGTGTGTCATTTCAGAACTATTTCAACATGTATTATAAGCCCTTTTGATTTGATATTTATTTTCTTAACAAACATAAAAAGAGTGAGGGACATGTCCACACATTCATGTATTAATCAAGTCTTGCTTGAGATATAATGCTAGAGTTGTGTCTGAAGTGTTTAAGGTCATAAACACAATTTTAGCCTTTTGTTTGGCTTTGCAAGATCATTATTTTTATTGCCGTAGGATTTTGTTGCCATGATTAAACTCATGATCAAAGTAACTGAATGGAAAGGCTTTCTTTGATCTTACAACTCTCAGGTCACACTCCTGTCCCTGAGGGAAGCCAGGCTAGGAATTTAAGACAGGAACCTAGATGCAGGAACTGCTGGTACCAAGGCCATGAAGGAACCCTGCTTACTGGCTTGTCCCCAAGGTTTGCTCAGCTTGCTTTCTTAAAGAATCCAGGACCACATACACAAAAATAGCACTGCTCCTGGTGAGCTGGACACTCTGACATTAATAAGCAATCAAGAAAATGTGCCACAAGTTTATCGACAGGCCGTTTGACGAAGGCATTTTCTCAATTGGAGTTTCTTTTCCCAGATAACTCGAGCTTGTTGATAGATAAACCAAGCAGGACCTTCATGGATTCCATTTTCTCATCATTTATTTTTTTGCATAGGTTCAAGTTCCGTGTTTTGTCATGTTTTTTTCTCCCTGAAAAATTCCCTTATTATTTCTTGATGTCAGTGGGCTCTCTAAATTTTTTATTGAGAAATACTTATTTTTGAATTTTCAGAAGACATTTTCACCAGATATAGACTTCTGGCTTATAATTTTCCACTTCTCCATTGTCTCATGTCTATAAGTCTGGTGCAATTGTCCCTTATCCTTGTGCATGTACGTTATCTTTTTCTATAAGTGCCTTCATGGTTCTCTCTTTGCCTTGTATTTTCAGCAGTTGAATATAGTACACTCAACTGGATTTTATTTGTGAAATTTCTTTTTTTCTCTTTACTACAACTGACCATAAATTGTAGTAAATGATGCATCTACAACACAAGCCAAATGAAACATCTACAACACGACCCAGTTGATACATCTATAATACAACCCAGATAATGCATCTACAGCACAACCCAGATGATGCATCTATAATACAACCCAGATGATGCATCTATAATACAACCCAGATGTTGCATCTACAACATGTCACAGATGTGCATCTACAGCACAACCCAGATGATGCATCTACAACATGTCACAGATGTACATCTACAGCACAACCCAGATGATGGTACATCTACAACTTATCACAGATGATGCATCTACAACATGTCACAGATGATGCATCTACAAACATGTCACAGTTGATGCATCTACAACATGTCACAGATGATGCATCTACAACATGTCACAGATGATGCATCTACAACATGTCACAGATGATGCATCTACAAACATGTCACAGTTGATGCATCTACAACATGTCACAGATGATGCATCTACAAACATGTCACAGTTGATGCATCTACAACATGTCACAGATGATGCATCTACAACATGTCACAGATGATGCATCTACAACACGTCACAGATGATGGTACATCTACAAACATGTCACAGTTGATGCATCTACAACATGTCACAGATGATGCATCTCCAACATGTCACAGATGATGCATCTACAACATGTCACAAATGCACAACCCAGATGATGGTACATCTATAACATGTCACAGATGATGCATCTACAAACATGTCACAGTTGATGCATCTACAACATGTCACAGATGTGCATCTACAGTACAACCCAGATATTGCATCCACAACACAACCCAAATGATGCCAATGCAACACAAGCCAGATGATGCTTCTGCAACAAACCCCTACACCTAAGGTTCAGGAAACATGGAAGAAAGAGTGGAAAGACTCTTAAGAGCCCGAAGACCAGGACAGCTGCTGTGAGAGCATCTTCTGTTTGCATTTTATTCTACAAGGCTGTCCCTGAGTCCTTTGAACATGATGTTTAGTGTGTGTCTTTAATTTTGGGAAGACCTTAGCTATTTTTCAAATCTGTGTTCTGTCCTTTAACCTGGTCTCCTCTAGGGATTTCAGTTGCAGTGGGAAATGATTGGGTCTTTTCCCCAGTAGTCTTGGATGCCCTCTGGTGTCCTCACTCCACACTTTTCCTTCCTTATTTTTATCATTTGTTTCTGCTAGTGTGTCTTTCTTTCTCAGTGTTGAGTCTGCAAATGAACATATTAAAGAATCCTTGATCCTTTTTAATTTTTTTCATAAAAATTGTAGAATTTTCATTTGATCCTTACCTGCTTGTTCCTTCCTTCTGCACTTCCCAATCTGGTTTTGCAAGCTTTCACTTTTCCTTCCTGATCCTTCAGTATACTAATTATTAGTTATTTTAAATTTTCTGTGAGTTAGCTCCAACGTCAGCGTCACAATCGAGTCTGCTTCTGTGGATTGGTTTTGGTCTACTGAGAGTATCTTTTGTGGGTGTTGTCTTTCCATTGTTTGATGTTCTTTTTGATCTCATTAAGCCTTATGATTTTTATGCTATCAAATATTAGACACACAATATAATCCAGTAAGAGATTGCGATAAAGAGTTTTAAGACCTAAGAGTAATCATGCCTCCCCTTAAGCATTTGCTGTAGGGTTTCCAGTATATATGTGGTTAAAGTCGGGTTAGGTGCAATTTATGGATATTATTTTTCAGTTGCTGTGACTGCCGTTAGTCTCACATAGACCTCAAGATATTCTTGAGATCCTTTGTGTTTAGGGTTGGTCTAGATTATAGATTATTTTAAATGTCTGTTCTCTTCTCAACATGTAGTATTTCATTTGCCTTGAACATTAGATTTCTCCAACACACAGTATTTCACAGTCCTTTCCGATGGAAAGATGTCCGCATGGCAACCTGAAGTGATAGAGGTCAAATGTTCTGTGCTAAGTATCTGCATGATTAGACCGACAGTGTGTTAAAAGATTTGGGGATACGACGTCTTGTTCCTAAGTCTGCCTCCTTTTCTTACTTCCAGGCTCAGGTGGTCTCCCCGCCTTCATCCAGAGGGTTTTTGCTTGCTGTTTAGTTTACCTACTCTCTCAACTACAGAGTGTTTCTCTGGCTCCCCAGTGCTGTTGGCTGCTCTTCTACCCACTTTTCCTTCTGGAGCAACTTCCTGGCAGGATTCTCTGCCTCTGGAGTAGCGTTTGCTTTGTTCTCACCGATTGGCACCCTGTGTGGCACTTGAACTCTTCTTCCTCACTTCTGCTAGCTTCTGGTAAGAACAGCTGAAAGCACCATCTAAGAGATGTGGAGTCCTCCAGTGTCTTGGATCCCTAGGAAGTTCACCCATGCCATCTCACCGTTGGCCTTCATGCTGGCTGACCTGTTCTTAGTCGTGTCTAGTTGTGAAAGTCTAGAGGAGAATAGTGCTCACCGTGATCTCAGGGATGAGTTCTGCAGGAATGAGAAAAACAACAGGAAACATGGATCTAGTTAAATGGGTGAATCAGCATTTTAATCTAGGTCTGCCTGACCATGCAAGTCCTGGTACTTGGTTCAAGACATTCTGTCCTTGGCAGGCCAGAAGCTAGGTGAGGCACAAGCACCTTTCCTGAGCATGTAGTATATGTAGCATTGATCGCTGCAAGGATGTTTAGAATATTGGAATGTGTGCTGGCTAGTTTTATGTCAACTCACCACAAGCTAGAGCATTTGGGAAGAGGAACTCTCAATTGAGAAAAATCTTCAAATGAGAAGATTTTGTATAGGAATGGCTGTATACATTTTTAAGTTAGTGATTCATGTGTGAAGGCTCAGGGTACAGAGTTAGGGATAGTGCCACCCCTGGGCAAGTAGTCCTAGATAGTCAAAGAAAGTAAGCTTAAACAAACTGTGGGGAACAAGCCAGTAAGTAGTATCTCTCTATGGCTTCTGCTTTGCTACCTACCTCCAGGTCCCTGCCTTGAGTTCCTGCCCTGGCTTCCATATGATAGACATATAAGGTAACATGAAATATACCCTTTGCCCTCAAAGTTGTTTTCAGTCATGATATTTTAGCACAGCAATATAAAACTAAGACACATTGCCTACAAAGTTAATTCATGACTACCTTTGGCATTCAAAATAAAGATATATTGTTACTATACCTATACAGTTTTGTTATATATACTTCTTAGAGTTTCAAAGACATTGATTAACCAAGCCTGTTGCGTGCTTCTTAAATTGAACAGTGTGTCTATAAATGTCTTCCAGTCAAGTTTTTACTTGAAATAAAAGGTTATTGATATCAATGTGTATTTTTAAATTTTTCAATAAGGAATTATAAATAAGTGAAGAGGGATTCAAAGTTTAAAATCTATTATTAGTAAAACTGGACCATTTTGGTCTTCTCTTCTAATGTTGCTTAATTCATTTAAATGACCCCTTACTGTCTTACCTTGCCATAAGCTCTTCTGTGGAATGTGGAGTCACTATAATCTATCTACAAAGGGCACAACGCCATGAAATCGGGCCATAGATAATGATAGTACAGACGGTGTTGAATGATGTGCTACACATGTAATCTTTATTCCTCCCCAAAGGCCATTGCACCTTGGTGGAATTTCATGATATATTAATCTGTCATTACACATTTAGGTGCTGAAGCAGAAAATATCCTCTAGCCAGAATGAGTGGCAAGGCATAAGGGCCAAGGCTTAAATATTGTAATGTGCTTGCTGAACTTTATAAATCTAATGGGTAGGGCTCCATGTTTATATTTTGCAGAGAGTGTGTAAAGTGGTTAAATGAGAAAGAGAAAGAAAAAGAACAGACAAGTTTTATAAAAATTGAAACTAAGTCGCTTCTTAGGAATCCAGTGATATATTGTAGTGTGTCAATACCCCTTTATTGAATTTCTTCTGTATTTCAGTTTGTTCTCTGTTTTCCCTAATATTGGCTATTATTCAAAGTTTTAATATGAAGTAATTGATATGCCCATTGGACAGAAGAAAACACCGAGGTTCATAGATATTACAAAAACAAAGGTCCAGGGGCTAGAGCGATGGTTATGTAGCCTCAAACACCTTCTGCTTCTGCAGAAGACCCAGGTTTAGTTCAGGATACAAGGATATTAAATGATAATGATTAATTATCAACATATATTAATTGTACATAGTGATGGTTTCATAAACACTACTGCAAGTATATAATGTACCTTGGTCATATTTGCCTCAAACCTCCTCTTTTATCTCCACCCCCCTTCTTTCTTTCTCTGGTCCCTTTCTCTCCCTGTCTCCCCTTCTGCTTCCATGTCACAGAGTTATTAAATGACAGCTTATTTTCTGAGCCTATATCAGACAAAATGCAGAGTGTATCCCATTTACATTCTGCCAGGCTGATTTTTGCAGAGGTAGAAAATGATTGAACCAGAAATGCTTTAAAATTTTCGTTCCTGGAAACTTGAGCTAAATTTGTTGCTAAAAGGCAATTCAGTATGCTGAATTATATCCTGATTAGCTTTGTAAATCTTCTGCCTGATTTATGGCATGCAAACATTCTTGTAAAAATTTTCATTTTTGAATGCTTATTTTATGAGGCAGGCAATAAAATAGCTTTCACTATTACAAATAGTGTAATATTTTATAGCTTATATTTTATAAAACATTGCGTATCATTATATTTGCCACATCACTATGACTCCCTTCAGTTATAAATGCTAATTAGCAAGGCTTCCCAAAAAATGGCACTCTGACCTTAGTCATACTTCCTGTTCCCATGCTATCTGTATCTCATCTACCAAAGCGGAATAATGTATTCTCCACATACCTGTGCTGAGCAATAAGGTTTTCTGACACTTGGCACTTGAGTTAAGATGCCTTTGAAGACTCTTCATTGGCTGTGGGTTATTCTTCTAATCTCAGAAACCATGTGTAAACATTTGTGCCTGGCCAGAAGGAAGAGGAGGCAGGGCAAGTGTGTATTTGGATTGACTTGATATTGTAAACATAATTTTTTTTTCTGTAGCATCACAAGAACCCCATTAAAGTAAGTATCATCTCTCTTACTGTAGAAATGAAGACATACAAATTCAAATGAAAAGCAGTTTGGATCAACTGACGCTTCTTACTCAAAATTCATATATGAAAGTGTCAGTATTTAATAGCCTGTGTTTATTTGACACTATGAAACTACATATTTCTGGAAGAAAACTTAGTATTTACTTATCAGTGTTCTTGACACAGAGAGTCAGTATTTGTCACAACAGTTGTATTTGTGTATAGTATAATGTTATATGCCAAATATATACTTCTGTATACTCCTATCAAAATAACAGTGATGTTTATATCATTTGAATTAAAATATAGTTACATCATTTCCTCCCTTTTTTCTCTCTCCAGTATCTCCTGTGTCCTCTACTTCCAGACCACCTCCTATTCCTCCCTTACTCCATCTTAAACCCATGTTCTCTTTTTCTTTATTATTGCACACATGCACACACACACACACACACACGATTAAATATATAATATATAAATACCACATACTGAGATCATTTAGTGTTGCTTGTATGCACATGATCTGCTGACTTGGCATTTTGTGTTGGATACTAATTAGGGGCTTCATCCGTGGCAGGCTAATCTGCTGCCCACGCAGGCCAGTTGCCTGTGGTTTTTGTGTAGGGGTCGGGCCTTGTGCAGAGTTCCCCTTCCACATTCACATGTCTCTTGGTTTGCATTGTTCAGTCCTGTTTAGGCAGTCAGGCTTTTGAGGTTTCAGGCGTGTAGCCTCCCTGTGTAGCTAGGAGACACACTCATACCAGATGTCTAGGTCCTCTGACTCTTACACTCTTTCTGATCAGTCCCTCATGATGGTCCCCTGAGCCTTAGGTGCTGGGACTGGACACTGCATGATGAGAACTGTTCTCTGTATTTTGACCAGTTGTGGACTTCTGTGATGGTCTCTATATGCTGCAAAGCGAAGCTTCTTTGACAAAGCTATACACATCAGGCAAAGAAGCCTCATGAACTAGGTGACATTTATTTTTGTGAATAAAATAAAACAACTAATTTCATATAAAATTTAAAAGTAGTTTCAAGGATAGGTCCTATACATAATTTCAACATCTCATTTTCATAATTAATGTATTATGAATGATTTTATATTCTATCCAAAGATCACTCTGTGTTCTTTAAAAGCATTTTTAAAATTAACCCCAACATTTGCATGTAGTACTCTTTTCATTCACATTAGACACAGACAACAACAAAAAACAAACCCTAAGGAAATAGTTGAATTTGATAAGATTCATGCAGGGATCAGTACCTGAGTCCAGCTCTAAACACAGCCTGGGATCAGGGCTCAGGAATCGAGGGTGGTAACTCATATTCATATCCACGAGCCGTGTCACCTTGGAAGTGAAGTCACCTCTGAATCATAGACAAGATTATGAGATATGAAACTGTCCCATATAATAAATAAATTCAGTAACACCATAATTGCAAGCACCCAGTTGGATGGATTTCTAGGTGACTGCATCTCTGTCAGTTGCATCCAGATAAAAAATACAGTATCATTTCTCAAAAAGCCTTCTTATCCTCCCAGCCAATCAACTATCTTCTTAAAAAGGAAAGCTGCCCTTATAGCTAACATATATTTTATTTTTGTCTGCATTCACACTTTAATGGCAAAGAGACTATATATTCTTCTGTTTGATTCAGGTCAGTTTCGTTAGAGCTGATACCTCAGCGGTGGATGACACCCAGGAAGGCTACTGGGAAACTCTTTTGATGCTGTCCCATGTTGAGGGGGTGAGGAGAAGTAGTTTCATTGTCAGAAAAAGTTGAATTGGGATGTAGCTGTTCCAAAGGCCTCTTACGATCCTATTTAGAATTCTAGCGTTCTGTAGTCCATGTGGATAAGAGAGGCAGATACTGCCCATTTCAGTGTTGAAGGGGAAATCAGGACCTCGAATTTATCCCCCTGTAGCTCACCCGCTTGGTCAGCAGGAACCCTATGCTGATGAAGTATTTTGTACTTCATTGTAACTTTTAAACTTCAATCATTCTCTTGGTCAGACTAGCATATTTCAATTGGTGATGGGATAGGACCCACGGCTCCATATAGTCTTATACTCTATCCCATAAATCTTTG